CCCAATGCTGAGAAGGGGTCTATCAAGATTACTGATTCCATTTCCCTACCCTCTGTCCTTCATGTACCCAGATTGAGTACTAACTTATTATTTGTTAGTAGTTTAACCAAGAACTTGAATTGCTCAATGATTTTTTCTCCTGGCCATTGTGTTTTGCAGGATCTGGTTTCAAAGAGGACGATTGGGAGTGGTCGTGAGATGAATGGAGTCTACCTTCTAGATGCGCTTCCTCATCATCAGTCACCATGTTAGCAGGGATTTTGAGTCAGAGTCTGTGGGTCAGATTATGCTTTGGCATAATCGTTTGGGACATTTGTCTTTTCCTTCTTTGTGTTTCTTGTTTCTGAAGTTATTTGAGTCTGTTAATTTGCCTAGCTTAGAGTGTGAAAGTTGTCAGCTTGGTAAACATTATAGACATTTGTTTAAAGCTAGTAATAAAAGGTGTTCATCTGCTTTTGATGTTATTCATACTAATGTGTGGAGACCATACCATGTTCCTTCTATGGGTGGCTACCAATATTTTCTTTTATTTGTGGATGATTTTTCTCGGTATTCTTAGATTTACTTAATGAGATCTCGTGATGAGGTTTCGTCCTTGGTCCGATAGTTTCATCAGATGGTACTAACACAGTTTGGGGTATGAGTGAAGGTGTTCAGATCAAACCATGCCAAAGAATAGTTTGAGAAGAACGGGAACCTTGCTTTGTATCTGTTAGAGTATGGAGTAGTCCATCAGAGCGGTTATTCTTACAGTCCACAGTAGAATGGTGTAGCAGAAAGGAAAAACAAACACATTGTTGAGATTGCAAGGAGCGTGATGATCACCTATTGTTCCAATTCGGTTTTGGGGTGATGCAGTTCTCACAGTAGTCTTTATGATTAATAGGGTGCCCTCTCATGTTCTTGGATTCGACACCCCATTCAGCCTCCTTTTTCCTGAGGGGGTAATGTTCCACATCCCTTTTTAGGGTTTTTGGTTGTGTTTGCTTTGCTCATGTTCTTGGTTCTCACCACACAAAGCTTGATCCGAAGGCAAAGAAGTGTGTTTTTCTTGGGTATGCAGAGAATCAAAAAGGGTACTAATGCTATGACCTAGTCTCTGGGAGTCGGTATGTTACTATGGATGTCACCTTTTTTGAGTCCACATCTTTTTTCCCGAAGAGTTCTTCTCAGGGGGAGTGTTTTGGGGAAGTAAGTGAGCAGTCTATTCCTCTTTCGGTTCTAGTTCCTGTGTCCACTCCTGTATCTGACCCTCCTATGTCACCTAACCACCTCCCTTGTGTCCTATTTCTCAGTGTTACTCACGACAGCACCTACAACTTCATAGGGAGGTTGATTCCACTACAGAAGAACCCACATCACTTCCTATCGGTTCCTTGGAGACTCTAGATTCGGCTAACATGGACTCAGGTATTCCTCTTGATCCCTTTAAGGTTTTTTTCCTATTGATTCTACTAATCCCATTACAAATGACCTGGACCTTCCTATTGCACTCAGAAAAGGGAAGAGAAAGTGTATTGCTCATTGTATCTCACAGTATCTATCCTACAGTGGGCTTTCTCCTTCTTATCGAGCTTTCCTTTCTTCCCTCGACTCTATGTCTATACCCAAATGTGTCAGTGAGGCTCTCTCCAAACCTGAGTGGAAGACAACTATGCAGGAAGAAATGGAAGACTTAACTAAGAATCAGACATGGAAGATTGTGGATCTACCAAAGGGCAAGGAGACTGTTGGATGCAGATGGGTTTATACAGTTAAATACAAGGCAGATGGAAGTATAGAAAGGTATAAGGTCAAACTGGTTGCAAAAGGATACACTCAAACCTATGACATTGATTACTTAGAGACCTTTGCACCAGTTGCAAAGATGACTTATGTTCGGATCCTTCTCTCTTGTTGCTACATACTTTTGGCCCTTTTTCCAACTTGATGTAAAAAATGCCTTTCTGAATGGGGATTTGCAAAAAGTGTATACTTAGAGACCTTTGCACCAGTTGCAAAGATGACTTATGTTCGGATCCTTCTCTCTTGTTGCTACATACTTTTGGCCCTTTTTCCAACTTGATGTAAAAAATGCCTTTCTGAATGGGGATTTGCAAAAAGTGTATACTTAGAGACCTTTGCACCAGTTGCAAAGATGACTTATGTTCGGATYCTTCTCTCTTGTTGCTACATACTTTTGGCCCTTTTTCCAACTTGATGTAAAAAATGCCTTTCTGAATGGGGATTTGCAAAAAGTGTATATGGATCTTCCTGCTGGTTTCTACAGTGATGCTGAAAAGGAAAAGATATGTAGATTGAAGAAGTCTCTTTATGGTTTAAAACAGTCTCCCAGAGTATGGCTTGACTGCTTTTGGCTATACTCAGACTCAACCAGACCATACTTTGTTTGTGAAGCGGAGGGTCCCTAGTGTCAGTTCTGATTGTTTACGTGGATGACATTGTAGTTATAGGAAATGACCTAAGTGAGATTGACAGTTTGAAGAAGAATCTGCACAAAAAATTTGAAATTAAGGATCTTGGGGAGCTGAGGTATTTCTTGGGCATTGAGGCTGCAAGATCAAAGCATGGAATTTTTATTTCTCAGAGGAAGTATGTTCTGGACCTTTTACAAGAAACAAGGAAACTTGGAACAAAGGTAGCCAGTACTCCTAAATTAAGGATCTTGGGGAACTGAGGTATTTCTTGGGCATTGAGGCTACAAGATCAAAGCATGGAATTTTTATTTCTTAGAGGAAGTATATTCTGGACATTTTACAAGAAACAAGGAAACTTGGAACAAAGGTAGTCAGTACTCCTATTGATCAGAATCATAGAATTAATGCATTAGAAGGTGAGCTGGTAAAGGACATTGAGAGATATCAGAGACTTGTTGGGCGACTGCTATATTTTTGTATGACAAGACCAGACATCTCCTATGCAGTGAGTGTGGTGAGTCAATACATGCATGCCCCATGAATCCAACATTGGGAGGCTGTTGAAAGGATTCTTGCTTATTTGAAGGGACACCCAAACAGAGGTATACTATTTGCTGACCATGGATAGTTGAAGCTAGAGGCTTACACAGATGCTGATTAGGCAGGATGCCTTGATGACAGGAGATCTACATCAAGAGTTTGCACTCTTGTTGGGGGTAATCTAGTTTCATGGAAAAGTAAAAAACAGACAATTGTGGCAAGGTCAAGTGCAGAAGCTGAATACAGAGCCATGGCACATGGAGTTTCAGAGCTTCTTTGGATTTGTTCCTTGTTAGGAGAAATCGGTATTAAGGCAAAAGAACCTATGATGCTGTACTATGATAATCAAGCAGCAATTAACATTGCCCACAACCCAGTTCAGCATGACAGGACAAAGCACATTGAAGTGGACAGACATTTCATAAGAGAAAGGGTGACTTCAGGGGAAGTTTGTCTCCCATACGCTTCTGATTTGCAACTTGTTGAAGTTCTTACAAAAGGTGTTGCAAGAAACAAGCAGGAGCATGATCCACGCAAATTGGGAATGTTTGACATTTACTCCCAACTTGAGGGAGAGTGCTGAGTTTGGGCCGATTTTAAGTTATTGGGCCCAGCTTTTTATTTTTTTTATTTAAGTTGTTAAGTTAGGAAGTTATTGGGCCTTAGGCCCATTAGTTTATGTTATTTTAAGTTGTGACTGTTCAGCTACTTAAAGTAGCCGCCCTACTAAGGGTATTCTTGGTAGCCACTCTCTTTTCTTCTTCTCTCCTCTTCTCTATTGCTGAAACCTTTCAGCTTATACTTTTCTTCAAAAGGAATTCATCTGAATCAGCTATCAGCAATTTCTACTGACATAAATGCACTTACACTCTCAACAGGTCATCGGGACATTATTTCTGCCTATCCTCCAACTGCATATTAGCTCCTCCATGTCTTTACCCTCTACATGCTGGGAAAAAATCCTTAACCCCTCCATTAACTAGAACTGAAAAATGACAAGATTATATTATACATCCATTCACCCAACTACACCACCTATCCCCAAATCCACATCTTCTTAACACATTCATTTGTTATAAAGATCTGATCTATAATTTGTCTACCCTATACAAAGGCTCCTTGAGCTTGAGTAGTGAGTGAGGGAAGAACCTTTAATCCTCAGCGGTAGCACTTTTGCCACAATCTCATGGATGCTGGTCGCCAAACTAATCGGCCTGAAATCTTTAGGATGTTTTACATTTAATCTCTTAGAGATAAGAGCTAAGAGCTAAGAAAGTGGCATTAACTCTACGACTTCTCCCATTGGCCACAGCATGAGAGAACTTGGTATTCCCATCCCCTTGATCCATTTATGCCTAGATTTTTTTCTCTAGGAGATCTACCTCCAGAGGACCTCTTCTAATTCTTTCTTCAACTTCCATCTCAATTCTCTTTCTTGTACACTCATGGTCCTTTGATACTCCTTTGAATCAAAGTCCTCAATTTGGGTTGACAGTTTGGCTTTTAGCTCTTCCAATCTACCAAATTTCTCCCTATTCCAATCTTTTAGTTTAGAAAGCTACTTCCCTTCTAGCACCACATTTTTCAATCTTAACTTACACAAATCCAAACCACCTATTTCTTTGCTTATACTGTTATCCAATAAGTTAGATGGTCTCTATTGGAGTTACCCAATAGCTTTTTGATGAATTAGATGCATGGTTCAGCTACTTAAAGAAAAGAAATTTTATGTTTAACTTGTTTTCTAAGGTGTAGAGGCGGGCACACTGTAAAGCTTTTTTAGAGGGTATGTTTATATATAACTTTTTCATTACACATAAAAGAGGGGGGAGAGGAATTGCAAATGCAACTGCAACTGGAAGATGCCAACAAGCAATAGAATATAGACGAGAACAGAAACATTTCAAGTCAAGCAGCTAAAATTTATAGACAAAGAAACTATACTAAGGAACATGAGAGCAAAATGGAAAAAGAATAGAACAGGTTTCCAAGAAAAAAACATGTTCAATTAGAATTAGTAAGTCAGACCAGAATGATAAACACCTGCATATATGCAACTGCTTCTGAAACAGAAAAAAATGTGTTAAGGAATTCCCATCTGCCCTCCTTCCGCAGATCCACCAGTTCCCTACCATATATTTCACTTCAAGATGCAGAGAGAAAACAACCATTAGAATAAATACAGCACCATCTTTGCAACATAAGATGCATTAAATGCACCATAAGGACAGTCCAATGCTGAAAAATCTTTACAAGACATGCGCATATAGTGCATGGACCTGCCATTTGGTAGTGCAAATGTGTAACCTTGAAAACCCTCCAAAATTGGAAGAACCAGAACAGACATTCCTAACTACATAAAATATTAGCCATTTCTGTACTTATCAGAGCATACAATAAATCTTTCTTTTTATCAATAACAATAAGCTTTATTAAAGATATGAAAATTTAATTACAAGAGAGGGGGGAGGTAAAATGTCTTAAATCCCCACCAGCAAATTACAAAGAAAGAGGAGTTAGAAATTAGCCCAAAACAAAGAATCCCTATTCACCCCTTGCTTGGCTAACCCATCGGCAAGTGAGTTGGCATTTCTTTTACCCAGCTGTACTTCACCTCAATAAATCTGATAACCTAGATGATTAAGATCATCTTATTGGACCCTTTACCAAGAGATTCCTAGGTAGGTGCAATGACATATGAAACTTTCTGCATGTGCACCATATAACTTGGTATTTGCAGTTTGTTGTTCTAGCAAAGAAACAGGCAACTCCAAATGCTTATCAACTATTCAAGTGAAAAGGTTCAAACCACACCTGACAGCTCGAGTGGATAGCATTCTGGTCCCATGCATAGCCCTCTTCACATAACCAAATCGATCAGCCTTAACCAAGTTGCCTCTCTCTTTGTCCATTACCAGGCCTCTAATGACCTGCAGAGGAGCAGAATGAGCTCAAGAAACATGGAGTGAAGTTCTAGAAAAGTTAACAGTCTGAAAATCGTAACGTCTTCCACATGCACAAAGAAAAAAATAATGTTACCAAGTTGGGGTCGAATTCAAGTCCATCAACTGGGAAACCCATACTGCTTAAGTTGTCCATACAGTAGTCGTAAGCCCGACCCTCCCAAGCCTGCAAGGACACAAACATATGGAGACCTGTACTGCCCATTTAAACACTTGCAGTAGAAGCAGACAAGCAGTAGAGCAAATCTTAATATAGAGCTGGTGATGAAATCTAATTGTTCCTGCACTGCTTCCGTAAAAAAAAATAAAGCCAATGCCATTTGATCTGTGAACACATATTTGGCACTAGTGAATGATACTCGTCAACTTTGTGGTTTTCATTTATCAAAAACATGCGGCATATATGACTGTATAAGAATCAATCATGAATTATGAGTAATAACAATAAACCTCACATAAAGTACTAACATGCATAATTAAGAGATTTATCAAACCAATGCAGCCCCATTTGGTATAGCTTAAGCTGTAGTGTGGTGACTTTTCCCTAAGCAGTGCTTGAGGAAAGCCCATCTGTCTGCCCCTGGGGTGCTTTTCCAAACAGACAATTTTCTAATCAAGTACTGCCAGATGTCAGCAAATCTCAGTAAGCAAAGCTTTTTGACTGTCTGTGCAGCTACTTCTGGAAAAGCCTCTCAAAAATGTACTAGGTGGATATCTGCCCAAATTTTAAGCAAAGGATGTATATCAACTATTAGAAAGAAGGAAGAAGAGACAAAGAATTAACTTCCAATGGAATAAACCAAGCACCTGTATTTTGGAAGGACTGACCATTCAAGATCCCACCTAATACATTTCCAAGTCCAAGAATTGATCTGATTGGATGATCATGACATTCAAAAGTATCACCCTTCTTGAACCATCATCCTTTTCTTTGGTCATCAAAAGAAAACAATAGAACATACATGTGCTTAAGCACCCTATAGATCCCTATATCAGACCCCTAAGCCCAACTGTCTGCTTAAGCACCCCCTATGATGCTTATGCAACCAAACTTCTAATTGAGTACAGCTACCACCATCCAATACAGACCTATTTGAGGCCATCTATAGAATCCATTTAAGTGCATTACATGTGCTTCCATTGTGCATTGCCAACAGGCACAAGGACTCAAGGAGTGAAGGATCAGTCAACTCAACATTAGACTTCAATAACACAAAAATAACAGCAGGATATATAAACAATATGACAGATATGAAAAATAAAAAAGTAATAAAAAAAGCATAAGGTATAGGCATGGTACCTTTTTACAGCAGTCAAAACCACCCAGTACCCTTCCACATTCTGATGTGGTTTCGCAACCAAACAGGTCTCACATGTCCCTCTCTTCACCCTCTATTTATGAGGTAATTTTTTGCATAAAACCCATGCACATATTCTGAATTAACTCCCTTTGAAGGAGAATGAAGGCCATATTTAATGCTTTAAAACCAAAAATAGGAGGTGCAAGGGATCTGAAGGATTTCAAGCCAATTAGCATGGTTTGTAATTTCTAGTGTAGCAAAGGCCATATTTATTAAGGCAGCAAGCATTTTCTAGATACCATGACATTTTTGCACTACACTACATTACATTACATTGCAGTATGTTGTTCTAATGTATTTGTGGAAAAATAAAGAGGAAGAGAAGAAGAAATGAAGAATGAGAGAAAAGAAATACTTCTGTATTGATAATATGTTGATAAAACATGTTGAGCATACAACTTAAATAAGAAAAGATAGGAGAGACAAACTCCTAGGATCTCTCTCAATTACTCCTAGAATCTCTCTCAATTAGGGATTGATTAAATCTTTCCTTAATCCTAGGATATGATTTTCCTAATTTTATTCAAATCTAATCTTTCCTAAATTTATTCAAATCT